TTTTACAAGGTGCACTAACGATTCCAAGCATTTTAAACAGTTTTTAACATTTTAAGACACATTTAAAATAGCGAAAACAGACCTGTCAAAACCACTGAAATGCACTGAAACCTATTCAATGCATTCCAATGGGGGAACTGCGTTTCGCTTAGCAATGTTTCCTATGGCAATTTTTGCTTAAGGACGGTAATCCGTTCCCATTGGAATGGATTATCTGGTTTTCAATGCATCTCTATGGGAAAACGCGTTTCGCTTAGCGATGTTTTCCCATAGCGATGGTTTTTTTGGAACCAATTAAAATCGTTAAGCAAGGCATCACTGTAATGTTTATTTTCCACTAATGTTTGAGAGGAACAAAATAATTTAATAGGCAAACTAAGAGGGAATTTAGAATAACGTTTTTGGTCACTTTGCTTTTTTCAGATGGGCCCCTTCCTCCTCCAGGTACAAAACAGTTGTGAGTAACATAATAAGGAAAAACAAGTCAGCAACAAAATGTTGATGAATATGTGTAAAATTTTGAGTATCTTAGAATAAGTCACATATTAACCTCCTTTAAAACATAACTTGCTCTGCTTAAATGCCTTGCTAAGGAACTCTGAGACAGCAGACACCATCAGTTTTTAAAATCTCCTTGAGCCATATTGATGAAACATACCCTTCTGGATGTCCAGCAGACAGCAGCTTCTGAGCCCGACCAGCCAGCTGTTTGATGTTTTTACCATAGTCTTCTATGGATCGTTGCTGACGAAGGTGCCGCTTCAGCATCACAATGCCACTCTCTTCATCCTGGGACAACAAAATTCCTTTAGCTGCTGATGTGATCCTACTAATGGAAACACTTCAGAGCAGAGCCAATATCAAGAGGCAGTATGGAAGCCAAGAGTGACTAGGGCTATAATCCTGGGCCCGTCTCTTTCAGAACAAGATCTGCAGATTTTTTTTTCTGAAGGAACATACATTGGATGAAATCCTGTTGGTTAATGTAGTAAGTCACAACTAGAGTAGGCCAACTGAATCAATGGAATTTATGGAGGAATTAAACGATCCAATCCCCATTAATTCAATGGGCCTGTTCTAGTTGTGACTTACTAAGCTAAGCAACAAGACTTCAGTCATAGGATTTGATTGGGTTTCATTTTCTAATTAGGTTTATTAATTAAGTCCACTTTTTCTCCACTAGCAGGGGAGCTTTCGGTATACCATTCCCCATGCTGTGCTGTAGCTGAACAACAACCCCTCTGAGAAACAAGGACAGTATTATACAGAACAGAGAGGGGATAGAGCTTCAAACCAAACTGCAACAAGTACTGCTGAATCCACCAACCCCATTCTGAAACAGATAGTACTTTCCTTCTATGTTTCATTATCTTCTGTTGCCTTCTGTCAAGGACAATTACTGGTTTCTTCTCTCCAGGCATATAAATACTGTATTTGATACTGGCACACAGGAATTCAAAATATTTTTAAAATTACACCTTTGTGTGTGAGAGAGGAGCACATGCATGCACCCATACACATCTGGTTTTGGCTCTTCTTGACACATCCTAAGACCGGAATCAGATCTTCATAAACCACCATGCATACACAGTATGTGTATATCACACACTCTGGGTACCACTCATGCACTCTTTAGCATGAGTAAGATGAGGGAAGAGGGCAAAGAATGTTGTTTTCTAGGGATGTGACTGACTCTCAGCCAAGATGGCCACATAACTTTGTGACTTCTCACTTTGCCTACTGCTTTGCATTTTAAGAACCTGTTATTTTTCTACTACATGCCTCTGTTTGATAGTACTTTTACATTAAGGAAGGAAACACGCCTCAGATCAGCCTAGGAAGATGGATGAACTTCTCATTTAAAGTCTAAAAACCTGATCAAGGTTCTGGCCCATAAAACAATGTTTCAACATTGTGTTATGGTGTTGGACCACCACAGAACTGACAATGGCACCAAATACCAAGACACAAACTGATGAACTTCTCTGAAATTTGCTTCAGTAACTCAGACCATAATCACAGAAGGCTGCATTTCTGTCTTGAGATGTGAAATTGACTAACATATTTGTGAAACTGACCAACATCAAAAGGACAGGGGAGGTACCATGAGATTTGAGCCAGCAACCATAAAATGCTTCAGGGCTGTACATTACAGAACAAAGTTAATTTAAATTGGAAGCTGCAGACTAAACATGCATTTTGGAGGGTCTCCCAGCACACTAAAGCAAGGTGTGTGAGTTATATATCACCCCATAGCACTTAAAGCACTCTGTGGGCAGTTTTCAATTTAGTTACTCAGGCTACACATTGCCCCCACTCTCCAGCGAGCTGAGTACTCAATTTACTGATCTCAGAAGGATGGAAGGCTGAGTCAGCCTTGAACTGGCTACTGAGCCTGTTGGGATCGAACTCAGTTTGTGAGCAGGGTCTTAAATGCAGTACAGTACTGAAGTTTAACCATTGCACCATAAGACTCCTAGTGGGGTTAACAACTTCTTGGTCAGTTGGATAGGAAGCATTTGCCCTAATCTCTATGTGGCTTGACTGCCTTTTAATTTATGATCTGGGAAAACAATTCCTGCACAGACTTACAGTTAGTTATGTTCTTCAGAGATCCCTTTTCAACACACTAGATATGAACTGAAGCTTGACTGTTAAATTATAGACTAAGGCATCATCTACATTATGAAGTTTACTGGGTTGAGATCTGTTACTTTCTACACAGTTACCCTTATTACAAGTTAGCTGACAAACTGTACAGTGTTATTGCTGTCATAAATATTTCTAGAGCATAATAAGGTCATTAATTAAGTCTACTTTTTCTCCACTAGCAGGGGAGCTAATTTCATAAATAAATTAAATAACTAATTTCAGTGGTGCTTATTGCAGCTCACATTGTGGTAGGCAAGCAACGGAAAAATCTGGAATGGTTTGACATTAGAAACTTACAAGACAAAGTTTGGTCTGGAGAGCTCTCTGAAATGTTAATACATAAATTATGAACCAAAAATGTATTGAAAAAGACAAAATTCCAGAAATTTGGTATCCACTGATTTTGTATGCAAAAAAGAAATTTTGTAACATGACCTACTGCTTCAGTAGTTGAGTTTCTGGAAAAATATTCTAATACCACTTGACACTTATTTTGCTAGTCTCAAGAAAATGTATGTTCTCTGTTATACTCAATCTATAAGAAAAGTTAAACACATATATTTGGGAGTCTTGGCACATGTGTTTGCCATTACAGTCTAGCTGCTATTGCTTGTTTCTGTTATCTGTTGGAGACTGTATTTCTAATTATGATAGATAATAAAAATACAAATGTAAAAGACAACAACAATTAACATCTGTCTCTTTCTTAGTTTTTGTTCCTGGAAAGTGCAAGAGACCAAGTTCTCTTGGGAAGCAGTCCTTTTGCTATGGCAGAACACGCCATGCACTCTTTTACTAAGATGGCAAGTACTCTTACCTCTGGCTCCTCATCTGTTACCACATAAAGCTCTTGCTCACTTATCCAAGCCTCTGCTTCTCCAGCATCCAAGTAATACCGTTGGGCCTCACTTGCTTCTTCCAGACGCTGCAACCTTTTCAAGGTTTCCTCTTGTAAAGTGTTCCAAGAATCCCTCAGCTGCTTAAGGCATTCTTCAGTATCCTTGAAATCCCCATCCCCTCCTGTCATCATGCTCTCCCCTCTGAAGATGACTTCTTCAATGCGTGGGGCATGGCCAGCAATTTCTTTCTGAAGTGTCTAAAGAAAAAAGGAGACACTTCCAAGGTGATTTGGATAGAGTTATTCCTTCTACTAATGGTTCCACTGATGAAGACTTCAAACAACATAGCAGGACTGAATTTCTTGCAGCTTGTTCGCAGGTAGGCTTTAGAGATCAGCTACTTTAGGGGGAGATAAAGTAAGCATATGGGGCCCAAGTATTTCTCTTGACATATAGTGTGAAGTGCAAGAAACAGTCTAGATTAAACTAAATAAAGAAGGCACAGATGTACCTTTTACTGCTGTTAGGTAAAGGTAAAGGTTCCCCTTGACATTTCAGTCAGTCGTGTTTGACTCTAGGGGGCGGTGCTCATCCCGTTTTCAAGCCATAGAGCCAGTGCTTGTCCGAAGACAGTTTCCATTGCCACGTGGCCAGCGTGGCTAGGGAATGCTGTTTTACCTTCCCACCGAGGTGGTACCTATTTATCTACTCGCATTTACATGCTTTTGAACTGCTAGGTTGGCGAGGAGCTGGGACAAAGTGACGGGAGCTCACTCCGTCATGTGGATTCGATCTTACGATGCTGGTCTTCTGACCCTGCAGCACACAAAGGCTTCTGTGGTTTAGCCCACAGTGCCACCACGTCCCTTTTATTGCTGTTGACAGCCTGTAAATTTCTAAACTAGCCAATGGAAGGAATTTGGACATTTCTATTCATCTCCCTTATTTCTAGAATCAACATTGCATATTTTGTATTTCCAGCACTGCAGCTACCTTCTGTTCTTTACAGTTAATACACGGACAGAGCTAAATTTTATATCAATAAGCAAGGCTTCCTACTATGTTCATTAATAGAGCCTTACAGATACCCCTGAACTTTGGTATGAATGCACCTTTGGCATACAAGGGATTTCTGCTCCGACCCACTGATGCTGTACATTTTGATAAACTGAACTTTGATACTGCAGCCACTACCAACATCCAGTATACTAACAGTTCTTCATCACAATCATCACCAAATAAATGGAGTGAAATAAAACAAAAAATTGTAGGAGTTGTAGAAAGACTCACCTGAGTTTTCTTTGTAAGAAGCTGCACTGACAAGAGGTTTGTGCCATGATCAGTGGATTCTGCAAGGGGGAGACGTTCTTGCACCCAAAGCTGGAATACATAAAATATTATAATATACATAGTGTATAGGGAAGGCCAGGATACACTTACATAAATGGATAAAGGAGAAATAAACATACTTCTGATTATCTAACATAGGTTCATGCCCCATGAAAACTAGTGTTATTGAAACAGAGCCACTTCTCTGCAATATCCATCAGAGAAATAAGGCAGTGCAACTAAGATCGAATTGTATCGTTTGCAAACAGTACATTTAGAAGATTTTATAGCTCACCAGTTCATCTGCCAGATCCCGGTCCAGTTGGTATCCAGCCTTAGCTGTCTCCAGTTCCTTCCTCCTCTTTTCCAATGGCCCCAAAAGATCTCCAAACTGCTTCTTAATAATCTCATGCTTGCCATCCACTTCATGTTGGTCTCCTCTGGCAGGAGGTGCCTGACGTAACAAGTCTTCCATTTCTTTTTTCCGCACACTTACTTGCTCATCCAATCGCTGCAATGAGAAAAATATCTAGTCAATCATATTGTTGTAACATATATATTTTAGCCTATCCGGTCCTATATGGTGGCCCTGGTCACATGAGGTAAATGTTTTCTAGTTATCCACCAGTTATATCATTATTTTTTTCTGGTCAGATGATGCACAATCAAGATCGAAACATTTTCACTGTCAGTGATATAACTGCAGTTTATTTTCCACTCCCTGAGAGGCTTGTGTTATTTGTACTTCTGTTGTACTAGTGCATTCCTTAATGGGTTTACCTGTGTGAACAACCTGCCCCACTTCTTTTCTGAGGCAAAGGCTGTAAGGTTCTTGCAATTACTGCGGCTCACATATTATTATTTTTTCCTGTCCTGTCCACTACATCAATAGGTTTCTAAAAGTACATTGCAGCTAGAAACTTTTTTTAAAGGTCCATATGAATGATACATTTGAGGGTAGACATCATTATTGGCCTCATGGAAAGGAGAAAGTTTTACAGTTGCCCCTTCCTAACAGTGTGTTCATATGTGTAGGTGGAGTCTGACACCCCTACCGTCAAGAGTGTGCGCTGTTTTTGTTTTTGTTTTTTTTGTATTCTTGGCACCATTAAATTGATAATTGGGTGAACTTATTGTGAGACCGAGGGCGAGAGTAAAGGACTTCTTGTAGGAGTGCCGTCCCTTCCACAGAGAGTGGAAAGAGAGATCCAAACCTCACCCACTTCGTCCCCCCAGAAAACAGAGCAGCGGGGAACAGACACCCAGGATTTGGAAAGAGAATTGTGTGGGTTAACCGTGGAGGAACGGGTCCCAGAGGAGTTGGCGGGAACAGAGAGGATAAAGCGGGTGGAGATAGAGGCAGGGACAGCAGAGATAAAAAGGAGAGACAGTCAGTTGCCACCAGGTTGGGAGTGGGTCTGGTTACAAGACCCATGGACCGGAGTTTGGAAGCGGTTGAGAGTACCCAAGGAGGAAGCAGACCACTGCGGAAGGAAGGAGATTCCCCCTAGACCCTCCTATTGGGGTGAAGCAGAGTCCCGAGAATGGCAGAGGAAATTGCGTGAAGAAAAAGAGAAGGTAGAAAGGGAAAGGAGAGAACGACTGGCACAGAGGGTGGATGAGATGAGGAGGAAAAGATTACAGGGAGGACCCTGGGCTACCATCACCCCAACCAGAGATGCAGACTGGACCGACCCCACAGAGGATGAGGCCATTCCCTTACTGGAGGGACCAGAGAGGTTTGAAGAATAAGGCAGCGATAGATTGGTCAGGTCCCTGGAACACCACAGAGACTAACCTGTTCTTAAACTATGCTTGGAAGCCCCTGCCAGATCCGTTGGTGACAGGCGAAAAGTTGAGGGACAATTTTATAGAGACTGGAATTTTGTTGAACACTCAAATAAACCTTTCCCCTGTTTCAAAGTTAAAAAGAGCCTTCTGATTTTATTGAAGAAAAAATAGAGTTTAAGATGAGCCCTCACACATATGCCTAGGTTTTTAGACAGACGATACTAGTGCAGCTTTATATTTCAGTGTCCAATGGATATACAGTGACATACAGTGGTCGATTGTCCATTGTGTGCAATGCATTTCTACAGGATCAACCAGTGCAACAGAGGACATTTCTCAAAACAGAAAGCCCCTTATATTGATATATTGATAAAGTGAATAATTATTTGTTTAAAAATGAGGGCATAAATGGACCATTGAGGATAGAGTGAAAATAAATCAGCAACATTGTGTAGTCAGCCATATTGATTCAAATAGCAGGAAATAGACGGCTGCTGCTAAAAGTGCTTGGACATTCATACCAACATATCTATCACATGACTGCAATCCAGTACAACAGAGATATGGAAATTATCAGGAGAACTACAGAACATTTTCCTTGTGTGACCGGGGTCTCAGTCTGTTCTGTACACACATTTACCAAGACTCCAGTCTGTCTCACCTTTCCATTCCAGTTAACCTGAAAAGACAAGAAAATGCAGTGCCCTTTTTCTTCTCCTTGGAATGAAGTGACTTGCAGAACCTTACACTTGTCAGCTATGGACTATTCATGTTAGTCATGAGCCATTTCTGACTGAGAATGGGGACAGTACTTGTGATGGCTCTTTTTGCAGAAGTAAAATTGTTTCGAAGTAGAAAAGATCTTCAAGTGCAAGAATGGGTCACTTGAGACCAAGGTGAAGATAATCTATACTGTGGATGTTAAATATGAAGTGAAGAAAGGTGACAGGGAAAACGGATTCATTTAAAATATGGTGCTGGAGAGCTTTGTGGATACCCTCAATGGCCAGAAAAACAAACAAGTGTGTTCTAAATGAAATAAGGTTTAACTTGATCTGGAAGCAAAAATGTTGAAACTGAGGCTGTCATACTTTGGACACATTGTAAGAAGACAGGACGATTACCCTGCTATACAACAAATCCGCATTACATCGACGTTTTTGTGATCGCTTTTGCGATTGCAAAACAATGTTTTAAATGGGGGAATGTCTATAATGTTTAAAAAGTTAAAGTTTTTTGATTGAAATTTTTAAAATCATCTGCACAATATGTATGGCTTTAAAGAGCACTTAATAAACCCTTTGTAAACCAAATTTTACTTTGTTCTGACTTTTTTGCCCATAGGAGCGCATTAATTAGATTTCAGTGCATTCCTATGGGAAAACGTATTTCGCAAGATGAATTTTTCGAAAGACAACATTAACCCCGGAACGAATTAAATTCGTCTTGTGAGGCACCACTGTACTGGGAAAAGCTGAAAACAACACAAAAAAGGATGATCTAATAAGAGATGGATTGACCCAATCAAGGAAGACACAGTCTTTAGTTAAGAAGAGCAGAACAGGGCTCCTAACAATAGGAGGTTTTTGGAGGTCCCTAATCTATAGAGTCACCATAAGGCAGAATAAATTTTATAGCACATAACAATAACAAAATTAGGAAAGTCAGTTTCTGATAGTAAAGGTGCCAGAATGAGATTCAGGTGCAGGGGGATTGTTGCAATCTCAAATCAAAATACTGTACTTGAATCTTTAGGCTCAAGAAACAAATGCCTTAAAGAGGACTTCAAGATACAATTTTTCTCCTTTGCAAAGAACCCATGCTTGTTTCATCGTTGCATTTGCAATGCTATTTAAAGACATCATCACATCTTCTGTCTTTCCCCCAATGCTCTGAAACTTTTTCTTGTCATATTTTGAAACTTTTTGTTGTTAAACTTACATATCACTCATATCATACCCAATTCCGTTATTTAGATCTAAGAGATAGAAGCTTGCTACTGCATCATGCGCTGCCCTCCATCTGCTGAGGTAAGATCTGTTCAGGTCTTCTACCCTTTTGTGCATGTTGCAATTGTCTGCTGCTTTCATATGGTATGGTGGATTATCCAGGCAGCCCTAACTTAATCCACGTTTACCTTCACCAACCTCTTCATTTACCACCTCTCCTATACCTTCTGCCAGGGAAACAATATTTTATTTTCAGGATGTCTCCTAAAGCAATATTTGGCACCCATGGGATGCTTTTTAAAGGGATCTCTTGAGAACAGTACATAAAAGATATCAGGATTATCCATATATCTGTGTAGCCTGAGATAAAAGATATTAGAAGTAATAAAAAAGTCCAAACAGAAATTAGTTCACAGTGGCAGCTCATGGGAAACTTTTATGAATTATTATTTTTGAAATGGTATGCTCATCTTAGTGCTCATATTATTCTAAACTTGCTACTTTAGGAACGCATCCTGGGACACTGTAGCTATGTGATGTTTCAACCAAATTTGTCCAGAAAATTAGGCATATGACATATGGACACATCTATCATAAAATTATTTCACATCCCAAATATTTTTATCATAGCACCTTTTTTCAAAAGACCTGTACAGGTGGCACAGTGAGTAAACACTCTGTCTTTAAATAATTTAAATGAAGAAGTAAAATAAGAACAATAATAATTGTTTAACTTTGTTGAGATTTTTAGTCTGAAAAGTAAATTTTTCTCATCTCTGTGCAAAACACTGATAATCTCAAATCAAACCTATACTGAGAGCAGTATCTCACTGGATGGGTACTATTGGTGTATATGTAAGGTTTGCACAGCTTGCTGCAGCTAATTGACAAGATGCCAGGGCACACTTTGCCCTAGGTAACTGAAAGCATGAGCAAGTCTGTAATCACAATCTGCCCTCATCAATTAGCTATGATTAGCTGCAGCAACTTACGCAAATAGTGGTGAACACCAAGAGGATTCTGGCCATTGTGTCTGGATGATACCTGCCCACATGTTGTTGAGCTAAGGGAAGAGAACAAGAGTTGCAGAAAACTGTTGCTTACTTTCAGGTTATTCAGCAGGATGTTGACACTAGTAAGATCTTTCCCCTGAACATCAGATTTCAGTTGCTGCTCCATCTCACCGATCCATGCACCAAGGTCAGCATAACTCTGTGCATAAAGGTCAGATCGGTTGGCATCAAACAAATGCTGAGCCTTCTCCTCTGTGGTTTCTTGCAGCTTGTCCCAAAGCTGATGCAGATCTGCTAGCCTCTTGTGAACCATGTCTTCATACTGGGGCTTCTGCTCTGCTAGTTGCTGTCCTTCCTAGAAAAGAGAGAACAGATGGAAAAGACAGAACCATGTTTCAATTCCAGGGTTAGGATAAAACTAATATTTATTTTTCTCTCAGGAAAATACAAAGTAGAAAAAAAATAGAAAAGTACTTGATAGGGATATGCCATTCACATTTTTTAGACTCCAGCTCCCAAATTTCTCCAAGAATTCCTCAGGAAAAATTATGGGAATTTGATGTCACAGACCCATGCACTTATATTTCACTCACCTGGACCAGGGCTCTGTCTCAGCAGCTGCACAGCCTAGCTCCAGCCTATTTCCCCTTGATAAGGTACAAAAAAGGAAGCTACCATAGTGCTTTCTGGCCACCATAGTTCTTCACGAGGTGCTCTTTATACAGGCTAAAGAACCGCAAGACTACAACTCCCATAAAGCACTGTGGCAGCTTCCTGAGGGAAAAAATGTAAACAAAAAATGTACTGTAAAGACAACTTTAACAAAAATAAAATGTGTTCTAAAGAAATAACTCTAATAAAGAAAACAGGTAAATGCAAACCTGAGGTAAATTTCTTTGTTTCACAAACACAAACTTCTATTCCCATCTAGTACTGCATCTGGAAGCATCCTTTGCTTTGCCCAAACACATGTGAGCTGAAGGCCACTTCTCATTTTTCTTTCAATAAGGCTCTCATCTCAGAGATGTTTCATTCTTGTTGTAGATGTGTAATAAAAGTGCAATGTATGAACTTGAGGAATATGTTGACAAATGCAAATGCACATTTATCAGGACCCGGCATTCCCTAACAAGTTTACCCTCGATGGCAAACAAGTTCTTCTGTATTCACAATGACAGGCCTTCTCTTGGAGCTAAATGGATGCACTGTACAACAGTTAATCATCATCATCTTAGCACTGCAAAGCTGGAAGGGACCCTATGGGTAATCAAGTCCAGTCCCTGTCAAGGAGGCACAGTGAAGAATTAAATCACCAACATCTGGCTCCTCAGCCAGATACCAAAACCATAAGCTATCCAGCAGTTCTTATGTTATATCTGAGTATTTCTTCAGCAGTTGGTGAAACCCTCAAGAACAGCATGATATGAGAAAAGCACATCTCAAAGCATACATGTACAATTCTGCGTGGCTCCAGAACCAGCTGAGTAGCTGCAGTGCCACAGGATCCCATCAGCTTTCAAAAAGTTCAGAAACATTTCTGTTCCAACATGCAGCAATTTCTGACAATGGTGTAAATAGTTACTGTCCCTAAGTTCTTTAAAATCCCAGCCTGAAAGCATTAAGAGTCACAAGGCATGATACCAATAGGAAATAAAAGAGATATTACTCCGATTCTAATTTTTTAAGAAGACACTTACTTACCTCATCTACTTTATCCAGCCATGCTTGGTTAGAAGCGAGTTCCGCCATGAAAGCCTGGTGCTTCAGCCACTTGCTATGCAAATTCCGTGCTTCATCATAGGACACATCTTGTGCAGTCAGCATCTTCTCTTCAATCCAAACAGTAAGCTGCAAATAAAATGGTGCCAAGTACTCAGTGCTAAAGGGAGGCTGTAAGAGCTTCCATAATGTCTTCCTGAAATTCTAAGCCCAGTGATGAATGTGGGTGGAATGAGTTGTTAAGCTCCATGCTGTTTCATTAGTATTCTATACTTTGCCACTTCAATTCTTTTCCCAATCCCCATCACTTCATCCCCTCCCCCTTTGAAATTACTGACTGCACTCTGCTGAAGTATTCAGACTCAGAGGTTAGAAAACAATCAAAGTCTATTAAGAGCCCCATAATCCAAAGAGTAATATTTATAAATAAATCTTCTACCCCATCAATCAATTTCACCCCCCAAAAAAACTATTTCTGGCAATGAGGTCTGAAGGGGCCAGAGGATACAAAAACAACTGTGGAAGTCATGTGCAACCCCAGGGCGATACTTTGTCAACCCCTGCTTTAAGAAAATAAGCTAAGATTTTCCTTTGGAAGTAATCAAATCTACCAGAATCCTTCTAAAATGTCGAGAGTCCTGGAAAAGGGCTGTAGTTCACCTATGGTTTACCTGATTTGTATCTAGTTGGTTTCATAAGCAATGCCAAATTAGAATGTACTGCTAACCTATCACTAGAAGAAGGACTCCTCTAAGAAGAACACTATTTATTCTATCTAGTGCTAGCTTGCCTTAATCATATTTGGAAAAATTTGTCCATTTCCCCCCTCTAATTGGTAATTTAGGAGATAGTGCGGCTTTGTTTGTATTGCTGATTTAGATATGTGGCACTAAAAGATCTGCATGCAGGGTGGCTCATGAAACAGAACACCTCAAAATTTTGATATATATCCTCTTATATACATATAGGACTAAGGACTGGCATCTGCATTTATGGTTGGGAATGATGGAATCTCACCTGAAATCTTAGGGAACCAGTGCCAGTCAATAACAACAGTACTGGGCTTGATTAACCAAGGGTATGACAATATGAAAGAACTTTATTCCTGCTTTCCTTCTGTTCTAACTGAAAAGAGACTAGCATAATATATAGGGTACCCACTTTTTCTGATGATGTTTTCTACAGTTCTGGTTACCTCCTGCAGAATCTGTGTGTTACTACAGGTAACTGCAATGAGAATTTGCCTTGAAAGGGAGGAACAGAACAATTCTAGCCTGTGCAAAAATAATAGAAGAACTAAAGCCATAAAATTTTCCTTCTTCTGAAATCTACCTCTTGAGCAAATTATTTAATTCACTAATAAAGTCTAAAAGAAAATCATGAGTAACAAGGCACAAATGCTTTTTAGGAAAAACAGCATAGTGAGAACAAGAGTAAACCACTGGTATACACTGAAGTTATAACCAATTTTGGGAAAGGAAGATAAGTTTAGATTAATTTTGTGCCCTCAAGTCAATTCAATCTTATGGTGACTCTTTCAGGGGTTTTCCAGGTAGAGAATTCTCAGAAGTGGTTTCCCATTCCCTTCTTCCAGGGGTGCCCTGGGACTGTGCAAATTGCCCAAGGCCGCCCAGGCTGGGTCTTCTGGGTTGCACAGTGGGAAACGGAATTCCCAAATGCTGGCCTTGTGTCCAGATATATAACTCACAGACCCTTACATTAAGAAAACAAATAAGAGGACACAACAATCACAGAATTGTGCTAAGTAGTAATAATTTGTCCACAATCCTTGCATTATGTGTTATGTGCTGTAGAGTCAGAACTGATTTATAGTGACCCCAACATGGTTTTCATGGTACATGAGATATTTAAGGAATGGTTTTATGAGTGCCCCTGCCCCATGAGTTTCCATGCTCATGTAGAGATTTGAACCCAGGTCTCCTGAGTCTGTCAGTCTATCCACTATACCACATTGCATATCCAGAACTCTTACCTCTTGGCAATTCTGTAAAAAGTTTTGCAAAGCATGATTGTCCTTCAGCAATACAAATGCCTCCTGAGATTTTGTGATATTTGTTCTGTACCTGGAAACAAGAAGTAATAAAGCTGTGATTAAAGAACATTGTTTATCCAGATGATCATTTACTATCACATCACATCACACTGTTTCAACCCAGGTTCATTGTTATGTATGTTTGTAGTTGGTTGTGATAGGTGTTGTGTTTTATTTGTTTGTTTATTTATTTATTTATTTATTTATTTATTTATTTATTTATTTATTTATTAGATTTCTACTCTGCCCCCCTAGACAGCGTCTACTAGTTCGTGACTTTTCCAGGCCTTTCTGTATCCCATCATAGAGACAGAAAAGAAAAGTCACATATTAATGTTGTTCAAGTGTTCAGAAGCTTAAAATCTGGCACACAAAGGACAATCAATCCCAGGCAAAAAAGGGGACAGTACCATGTAGACTGGATCCTCCACTCCTACAAAATCCACACACTATTCCTTCCCCACAAATGACAGCTTACAGCTAAAAACAAGACATTTAGAACCGTATTAACAGTAGCATTTTCTCTCTCTACAGTTCAGAGGGCACATGAAATCCCTTTTGCAATTATAGGATATGGAAACAGAGGAAGTGGATGTTCCTATAGTGAGAAAAGAGACTCCCCAATTCTTTTCATGTCCATATTTTCACTGGCTGGCTTCATCACTACCTTTGAACAAACATGTGAATAACAGTGATCTTAATATCTAGTCTGACAATATGCAAAAATATTTCTCAGTCTCTTTCTCTCTCCCCCTCTCCCTCCCCTGCTCCCCCCTGACTCCCTCCCTCCCTCTCTCTATTCCTCTCTCTCTCTCTCTCTCTCTCTCACACACACACACACACACACAAACATAAAAAAGTAAGCAATAGTTCCTAGCTGTTCCCACCGAAACCATCTCAGTGAAATTACCTCTCTTGAATCAGCTGGACTTTTTCTTTAATTTTATCAGAGTAAATATTTCCATCAGCCACGAGTTTATTCCCACAGTTCACCAACCCAGTGATTTTTTCCTCATTAGCTTCCATTGTAGCAAGGAAATCTTCATATTTTCGGATGGCAGCTTGAGATGCTTCCAGTGTGTCTGGGGGCTCGATGTGAGCCAGAGTATATTCCTAAGGCAGATATTCAATAAGACAGCATGTGAATTATACCATATGAAGTTAAAATGAAATACTGGATGCCATCACTGCAACCACTTGAAATGCTGACATGTGACAGAATCCAGTTTTAATAAGCTTCTTGTGTACATCTACTAAAATGCGCAAGATTTGGCTTTCAGTAGCCATCAGGAGGTCCCGTTTCCTCAGCATTTCTCAGTGCATGCTGAAAGTCAAATCTTATATATTAAGAGTGAGCTAAGATGCAACTATAGACTGTGAGTGACCACTGGAGAATAAATGTGACCCTCTAGCATCTTGGGGGGCTCAACCTACCCACCTTCCCTAATATTTTCGCCCATAAAGCACCTTTATACCCTTTTTAAGGAGTGCAGCAGTCAACTATGCCACTCCAAAATTGAAATTGCTTTTAAATGGCAATTGGAAGGTATGAGGGGTATTTTATAGTTTTTTTAAAAAAGAGAGAGTGAGACCTCTGAGAGAAAGGTAATTGGGAAATGGACTGTGACATATTGAGTGCCCTGGGGACAGAGGAAGCAATTTTGCCCTGTTTGGGTTTTTTGTACCTCCAAATTCCTGGCATTGCCCAAACTCTAATTTTGGGTTGTTTTTTAATGGAGCAAATATTAAATTAATGTCTTTTTAAAAATTGGTCCCATGAAGCTATGATGGGCTTTTTTAAAAAGAAGGCTTTTTGGGGGGGGCAATTTGGGCATGGGGCAGCCCACCAGACTCCAGAGTTAGGGATGTGCTGCCTTCAGATTTCTGATTGTTGACCACCCCAGCTGCATATGTTGCCAGTCGGTACACAAGAGTGATATGGACTGGCACTGGGAGATACCATGAGCCAGCTTTTTCCCACATTTTGAGCACTATGCCCGCAGAGCTGCAAAATACATGCAAATTCCACTGCTTTGTTTTCCTTCTTGTTGTTGAGAATACTGTAGACATTTAAGCATTAGAATACAATAATGAAAGATTAATTTAACAGGCACAAAATTCAGAGAAAAGTTGATGCTTCTTTCATACCTGATTAGTAAGGACAATCTCGGCCTGTTTTGCATCTTTAAGAAATTCCTGGAAGCCAAGACACTGGTTGAGAAATTTCTCCCTACTTTCCCACATTTTGCATAAGGCGTTCCAGCCTGTATCCATTCCCTGGAGCCGCTGTTCTAGCTGCTGATATTCCATATCCGTCTGCCCTTGAGTCACTCTGGCTCCCGTCTCTTTGACATTGTGATAATCATCCCTGTGTTGATCAATTTCTTCCTTAACAGCAGCATGCTGCTGCCGGAGATGCTCAGCTTCTAGCAAGGAGTTGGGAACCTCTTCTGAAGCAACAGCTTTTTGTGCCTTGAAAAGCCATGCCTGGAAGTCATCTAAGTCCTGCAAAAACTTGTGCAATTTACTGGCCTCACCAAGGGAGGCTTCCTGGCTCTGCAGTGTATTCTGCAGGTCTAGCCAGAATCCAGTGACAGCTGTCAGACGACTATAGATGTCATCTGCTAGGTCAGGTTGTTCCTCAGCAAGACGGTGTGCTTCCTGCTGTAGGGCTGCAAGCCGGGCTTGGATAGCTGCTAAGTCACGTTCAATGCCATATAACTTCCTCTGCATAGCAATCATGCCTGCTAGGTTTTTGCCAAGATCCTGTGTGGATTCAATGACTTTGGTCTTTTCTAGAATCCACTTCCTGGTCTCCTCACAATCCACACAGTAATTATGGAGGCTCAGTGCAAAGTCCACAGCTTTCCGCCTCTGAGCTACCATCGCCTGAAAGACCCTCCACCTAAAAGGCACAGAACAGAACATCATTGCACTGATAGTCAACAGTTTTTAACTTCTCCCGCATGCAGCTGTTTTGTACACTTAATACATTGTCTCTGACATTACCATTCTAATATTCAAAGGTGAAAGCACTAAAGAAGGAGACAATGCACCAACCAAGAAAAAGGCATATGAGGTATTCCCTTACAGTTCTCAGAGCTAAATAGACCAGATTTGTTACCAATACTGGTTTGCCTACTACTGAGAAGTGGAACGGTGTTTCTAACTGCCATGGCATTCAAAAGCTCTCAGCTAAGCTGACAAACAGGTACATCTCTACTCTAGTCTCCAAAGACTGATACATGCCCTTGACACCATCTTCTAACTGATAAGAGCTCATGAGCTCTGGTTATGTATTGTTCTTCTAATATGAAAGAACGCAGACTGAGCATTTGCTCAGATGTTTCTTCCCAATAGGCACTGTGGTGTTATTATTTCCAGTCCAACAAGTGAACTGTACGAAAGAAGAAGTTAGAGTAGCATGCCAGTTAACTCTGCCAGCCCACAGAAGCAAACCTGGAAAATATTTCACCTAGAGATTGTAATATCTACATTCATATGTTAAAGTTTGTAAAATTATTTTCAAAAACAGCAGAATTTTGTTTTATCTGGCACAATTCTCATTGACTTTAGTCTTCTTCGGATGTATCAGATCTTGCATGCAAGGAAAGGGGGAAAAGTCCATGAAAGTTCATGTCCAATAAAACTGGTTAGTCTGCATTCTGACTAGAAACAAAAAAGAAGCCTGTCCTGGTTTAAGGCAGAGGAAGTAGAAGTGGGAAGAACTTGTGAAACATGTATGTTAAGCTTTTCTACACTCCACCAGAAAAACATCTACTTCTGCTTCAATGACTATGCAAAAACCTTTGACTGTGTGGACCACAGCAAACTATGGCAGGTCCTTAAAGAAATGGGAGTGCCTCACCACCTTATCTACCTCCTGAGAAATCTATATGTGGGACAGGAAGCAACAGTTAGAACTGGATATGGAACAACTGATTGGTT